GCATTTTTCCATATGCTTGTTGACCATTTGTATATCTTCTTTTGAGAATTATCTATTCATGTGACATATAGACTCTTGATCCTAATGGTGACAAAAATATCTGTAGTGGAGATGATATATTAAATTTTTTCAGATATATTTCTATTATAAATTTTGGTATCTTGAGGGCTTCTCAATTATTGAAATAATAAGCTGAAAAGGCCAATGAAAAAGGCTTTTCTAAATCTCTGTAGCCTATCAGTGATATGGTCTGGAGGACTCAGATTATTTATTTTTTTCTAGAAATGTTCAGAAGTTTCCTGTTCTGCCGCTGTAGGCTGAACCAAAGGTCTTCCTGGATAGAAGGAAGACATGATGTTGAGGAAAATGAACAATTTTCTCTTCTATTCTGAGAAGATTATGGAAATCAGAAGGTCAGTGTCAGAGCCCTTGTTTTTCTTCTCTTAGGGCCCAACTTGGGACAGGGAAGGGACTGTGGCTTTAGAAAGTAGTATCTGTATTGGTATGGATGATCTACAGAAACCTTTGCTCCTTTGGCCTACTGTAGTGAAGACTCAAGCCCTTAGGAAAATCATAGCTCTAGTAGGCTTGGCACTGTGGCCATCATGGTGCCTGAGTGAATGTAGGTGGTATCAGGAGCCCAGGTCTGCCATTCTGGACCCCAGGGACTTATGTAACTCCAAGTCCCAGGGAGGAGAGGTGGAGATGCTGAGGGCCCTGGTAAACCAGCAGAGTCCCTCATACAGGAGAGAGTTCATTTTGGGTGGGATTTAAAGATAAGAATAAATAGCTCAGATCCTGGGTTCTAGCAGTTGGTGCCAGCACATGATCTCAAATGGCCAGGCAGGTCCATTTGTTCCTCTGTGGTCATCTGTTCAGGGAGAAACTCAGTCTGGGTCCTCTGCAGCAGAGGCCCGGTGAGAATCCAGATGACCAGGTAAAGCTGTGAGGACCCCCTTTCTTCCTCTATCACACCATCATTAATGAGCATCCCTGGCCCCTCCAACCAGTCACTTTCTTGAATTGGAGGATGGGGAGGGGAAGATTTTATGCAAATAGATCAAGCAATTAATTAAAAAGGCTGCCATAATTATTGCATCAGATCAAGGTTGATAGATTGAAAAAGCATTTTATTTTATTTTTTCCAGGTTTGCTCTTTTTTTTTTTCAGGTTTGCTCTGGGGGATTAGGGTTTGTGAGGATGATCAGATGGGTTATGGAGAGAAAGTATAAATTTCCATATTTGATCAACGCTAAGATAACCTTGATTATTAGAACCATTGTTTAATCAATTACTGGGAAAGAAAAAAATTACCACATTAGTCAGGGTTCAAGCACAGAAATAGAACTAGTAGGAGCTATGTATTAAGAGATTTATTGCAAGGAGTTGGCTTATATGATTGTTGGGGGTGGTTAGGCAAGTCTGTAATCCAAAGGGTAGGATACTAGGAAGGGCAGGCCGAGACTCCCAGGCATAAGTCCATAGGCAAAATTCCTTTTTCACCAGGGAAGCCTCAGCTCTGTACTTAAGGCTTTGCAACAGATTGAATCAGGCCCACCAAAACTATCTAGGATAATCTTCCTTACTTATAGTCAACTGATTATGGACTTTAATCACATCTACAAATACCTTCAATGCAACACTTAGATTAGCATTTGATTGAATAGCTGGAGACTGTAGCCTAGTCAATTTGACACAAAAACTGACCATCACAGCTACCAATTAAACTGTGGCAAGTTCTGGTGAGACATATTTCAATTTTAGAGGTGTTAAAACATAAAAAAATTAGAATTTATGAAATGTGGTACGTTTTCTGGGTATAGTGCAAGTAATTGAGAACTGTATTACCTAACTTTACTTAGTAATTCTGGGGATTAGTAGTGATTTTGTAATCTTGTAATGACTTGTAATTCTAGATATTGGTAGTAATTACAACTACCCCTTTGCAAAGAGAAAGCCCCAGGTACCAAGAAAGGGAAGTCACTTCCTGAGGATTACATCAGGCCAGGCTGGAATTAGGATCCTGTTTTCCACCCCCATGTTCTTTCAGTCTAGATCCCTATATCTTATTAGAATCACAGGCAAAGAAGATTGGTGAAATGTGAATTGTGTTTCCCTGGCTGGTGTCTCTGATCATCTGAGAGTTCCAAAGTGTGTAAAATGATTTTGTGAAGCCTAATGGAAAGTCTGCATTTCATGTGAAGTAAAGTTTTGTGGGCTAAATAAGATGTTAAGTTGCTTTGCTTTTAGCCAGAGTTTTATGTAGTCCCTTTGGTCACTTTTCTGTCACATGCTCATCAGAAACTGTGATGACCAGTTATTTAGGTTGTGTGGGTCATTCTCCTGCTTCCTCTCAAGTTCATTCTCTACCTTCCTTCACTTTGCATCAAAGGGAATCACTTTTCCTAAGGTTACTTGCCAATGACTTCTGAGTAGGTTCAGCGAATGGGAGGCACCAGAGGAAGCCTAGAGGGTGGGAGAGGGGAGAAGCCAGGGAGTGGCTCCCTTCTTGCTCTGCCCTTGGCTGGGTCTCCCTCAGTGGCTGTGTTTCTGCAGTGGCTCTCACTTCCCCTGGATAGTCACTGCCTGCACAGTCCCATCCCACCAGGCAGCCTCCACCACAGTTCTGGCTCCCACTGATGGTCGCGGCTTTTGGACGGCAATAGCAACGTCTCCTCTTATTGTTCCTTTGGCTGTAGGAATGGCAATGGCTTTCTGCTCTTGTCTCGCCACTCCTTAGGGACTCTTTCAGGTCTCCCATCATTTGCGTAATGAATTCCTCACAGCAAATCTTCTGTATTTGGAATAGCTATAGTGGTCCTATGTTCCTGATATGTGGGATTAAAAAATTAATTATTCTGGGAAAAGTAAATCAGTTATTACTTGAGAGATACATATTTGGGTAGATACCATCATTCAAAACATGGCTTCTGTGTTGGGCTGTTTTTGTGTTGCTATAAAGAAATATAAATCTGGGTAATTTATAAAGAAAAGAGGTTTAATTGGCTCATGGTTCTGCAGGCTGTACAGGAAGCATGGCTCCAGCATCTACTTCTGGTGAGGCCTCAGGAAGCTTGCAATCATGGTAGAAGGTGATGGAAAGCCAGTGTGTCACATGGGGAGAGTGAGAGCAAGTGGTAGGGGGAAGCTCCCAAACTTTTAAACAACCAGATCTCACATGTACTAACTGATGGCTTCCCTGCAATTCCTTAAAAAAGAATAGAATTGATTGCCATTTGAGAGCGTGCGGACTATTTGAAGGGAGGGCTAGAATTTGCTGTTCAATGTTCAGCACATTCTGGGAGCCTAATAAACACTGATTCAAGGAATCCAAGTCTTCCAGACTCATAAGCCATTTGTGAGTCATGTTATCACCAAGGAAATGGAGCGAAACCATTCCTGAGGGATCTGCCTCCATGATCCAGTCACCTCACAACAGGCCCCATCTCCAACACTGGGGATTACGTCTTAACATGAGATTTGAAGGGGACAAACTTTCAAACCATATCAGCTCCCAACAGGAAAAATATGAAAAAGAAGAAAAGGGACGTTGGCAGTGAAAGGGCTGGGAAGCCCTGAGCAGTAGAGGCACATATGGTAGTGCTGAAGCGAGCCTTAGCAGCCACCAGAGAAATAGGGGTACTTGTCCTGGGCCTCTTAGCAGTTCACAAGTGAACAACCAGGACCAGAATGCAGTTGTTTTTGCCTCCAGCCACGTATTACATAACAGAATTGGAAGCACTTGGAATCAGAGAGAACCAAGTTAAAATCCCAGCTCCACTGTGCATTTTCTCTGTGACATCAGGCAAGCCTCTTACTGTCTCTGAATCTCAGTGTTCTCATCTTGAAATTGAAACTAAACTTCCCAGTGTTCATGAAACTGTAAGGAGTCACTTGTAAGTGTATTTGGTGGAGTGTTTGGCCAGAGTAGCCACTAAATATGTTACATTTCCTTCCTCCCATTCAGGACTTTTCTATAACACTATCCAGGAACAATTAAAATTTCCAAGAAGGTAGTTTCTTTTTTTTTTTTTTTTAACTTTCTTAAAATTTCTGCCTTCCCCTTTTGCTGACTTTCAACAAAGCAAAATAAAGGAGCTGACCAAATGCTTTAATAATATAACTTGGCTGGGCACGGTGGCTCACGCCTGTAATTCCAGCACTTTGGGAGGCTGAGGCAGGTGGATCACTGAGGTAAGGAGTTTGAGACCAGCCTGACCAACATGGTGAAACCCTGTCTCTACTAAAAATACAAAAATTAGCCGGATGTGGTGGTGGGAGCCTGTAATCCCAGCTACTCGGGAGGCTGAGGCAGGAGAATTGCTTGAACCCAGGAGACGGAGGTTTCAGTGAGCCAAGATTGCGCCATTGCACTCCAGCCTGGGCAACAGATCGAGACTCCATCTCAAAAAAACAAAAAACACAAACAAACAGACAAAACCCTCAATGCTTTAAAAAAATCTTGCAATTCCTTAAAAAAGAGTAGAATTGATTGCCATTGACAGCAAGTGGACTGTTTGAAGGGAGGGCTAGAATTTGCTGTTCAATGTTTAGCACATTCTGGAAGCCTATTTTGCCAATTCCTTGAATCAGTGTTTATTAGGCTTCCAGACTCATAAGCCATTTGTGAGTTAAAACAAGCCTCCCTTGTAGTTCTTCGACATCCTTCTCTACACTATCTGTAGTTGCCATTTTGCCCCTTACATTACAGTCAGAAGTACGTTTGTATGGAGTTATATATGCCACAGGCCTGCTCTAGGACACTTGGCAATCAGCAATCATTCAGACCTGCTTTCCTTCATTTTCCTTATTGGTTCCAGGTTGAACATAAGTCTCGTTACCTTTCAAGGGCCTGCTCCTATGGGCCCATGCCCCAGGAGCCCTAAGCCTTTTGGCCCAGTAGAAAAGCTGAGTTACATGAGAAGGCAACAGCTTCATAATGACCCCCAGCCCCAGCATTGTTACCCCCTGCACCGCTATTGTAGGAGTGTAAAGAAGCAGTCGTTTGGACTACTAAATGCCGTTCTTCTCTCTTGAGATCACCTTGGATTGGACAACATCCAAATGAGCAGGATTGCTTTTGCTTTCAAAACGGTGATACCTGGAGCACTGGTATCCACCTCCCCTCATATCCCATGCTTTGAAAACTATGTGGTATTAATGTTTTATTAACTGTGCTTGAATATTGGGCATCCTCCTATATTGCACCTTGATATTCTTGGCTGTATATGGGGAGTTCTTTCACTTTTAAGGGAGGTGGACTTAGAAGTTTATTGTTTATGTTGTGTTTTCCTTTCAGGTAGTTCCACCGTGTGTAACAATGATGCAAAGCAGGCAGAGAGCTGACCTAACGCTTTCAAGTGGGGCAGAGGTAAGCAAACAGATTTTTCCCTGATTAACGCTATCAGTTTAATTTTGTTGAATAAATGGATGGAATTAGGCTGAGGAGTGTAGGTTCTTGCCAGATCCACCAGAAAAGGTGGTAGAGTTATAATTAGAGTAGTAATCAGAGGGGTTTAAATTCTGCAGATTGCTTTAACTCTCCATTTTAACATTTTTTTTCCCTTCCCTAGCAGATTACCAGAAATGGGGGTTTGAGGAATGCAGTTCTAAGCATGACCTGGGGTGATGGGACACCTCTATTTATGTCACATGGCTTTGACTTCTGTGGGACTGGGTCATATTGTTACAGCTGCAAGACTAAAAAGCATTTGAATGATTATATTTTGACTAGAATTCTTCCTACACTTTTAAGGAACATGGAAACTCCAGTCTCCTTTTCTCTCTCAATCTCTCTCTTTACTTTATCTCATTCTATTTCTCTTCTACTTTCCCACATCCCCTTTTTGGAGACTGTGTTGCACTAATCTTTTTTTTTTTTTTTTTTTAATTATACTTTAAGTTCTGGGATACATGTGCAGAATGTGCAGGTTTGTTACATAGGTATACACGTGCCATGGTGGTTTGCTGCACCCATCAACCCGTCATCTACATTAGGTATTTCTCCTAATGCTATCCCTTCCCTAGCTTCCCACCCCAGACAGGCCTCAGTGTGTGATGTTCCCCTCCCTGTGTCCATGTGTTCTCATTGTTTCACTCCCACTTATGAGTGAGAACATGCGGTGTTGGGTTTTCTCTTCCTGTGTCAGTTTGCTGAGAATAATGGTTTCCAGCTTCATCCATGTCCCTGCAAAGGACATGAACTCATCCTTTTTTATGGCTGCATAGTATTCCACAGTATATATGTGTCACATTTTCTTTATCCAGTCTATCACTGATGGGCATTTGGGTTGGTTCCAAGTCTTTGCTATTGTGAACAGTGCTGCAATAAACATATGTGTGCATGTGTCTTTATAGTAGAATGATTTATAATATTTTGGATATATACCCAGTAATGGGATTGCTGGATCAAATGGTATTTCTGGTTCTAGATCCTTGAGGAATCACCACATTGTCTTCTACAATGGTTGAACCAATTTACATTCCCACCAACAGTGTAAAAGCCATCCTATTTCTCCACATCCTCTCCAGCATCTGTTGTTTCCTGACTTTTTAATGATTGCCATTCTAACTGGCGTGAGATGGTATCTCATTGTGGCTTTGATTTGTATTTCTCTAATGATCAGTGATGATGAGCTTTTTTTTTTATATGTTTGTTGGCCACACAAATGTCTTCTTTTGAAAAGTGTCTGTTCATATCCTGTGCCCACTTTTTGATGGGTTTTTTTTCTCTTCTTTGTTTAAGCATTTAAGTTGTTTAAGCAATTTGTTTAAGTTCCTTGTAGATTCTGGATATTAGCCATTTGTCAGACTGATAGATTGCAAAAATTTTCTCCCATTCGGTAGGTTGCCTGTTCACGGTGATGATAGGTTCTTTTGCTGTGCAGAAGCTCTTTAGTTTAATTAGATCCCATTTGTCTATTTTGGGTTTTGTTGCCATTGCTTTTGGTGTTTTAGTCATAAAATCTTTGCCCATGCGTATGTCCTGAATAGTATTGGCTAGTTTTTCTTCTAGGGTTTTTATGATTTTAGGTCTTACATTTAAGTCTTTAATCCATCTTGAATTAATTTTTGTATAAGGTGCAAAGAAGGGATCTGGTTTCACAACACCATTTATTAAATAGGGAATCCTTTCTCCATTTCTTGTTTTTGTCAGATTTGTCAAAGATCAGATGGTTGTAGATGTGTGGCGTTATTTCCGAGGCCTCCATTCTGTTCCATTGGTCTATTTATCTGTTTTGGTACCAGTACCATGCTGTTTTGGTGACTGTAGCCTTGCAGTATAGTTTGAAGTCAGGTAGCGTGATGCCTGCAGCTTTGTTCTTCTTGCTTAGGATTGTTTTGGCTATATGGGCTCTTTTTTGGTTCCATATGAAATTTAAAGTGTTTTTTTCTAATTCTGTGAAGAAAGTCAATGGTAGCTTGATGGCGATAGCATTGAATCTGTAAATTACTTTGGGCAGTATGGCCATTTTCATGATATTGATTCTTCCTATCCGTGAGAATGGAATGTTTTTCCATTTTTTTGTGTTCTCTCTTATTTTCTTGAGCAGTGGTTTGTAGTTCTCCTTGAAGAGGTCCTTCACATCCCTTGTAAGTTGGATTTCTAGGTATTTTATTCTCTTAGTAGTAATTGTGAATGGGAGTTCACTCATGTTTTGGCTGTCTATTATTGGTGTATAGGAATGCTTGTGAGTTTTGTACATTGATTTTGTATCCTGAGGCTTTGCTGAAGTTGCTTATCAGCTTAAGGAAATTTTGGGCTGAGACGATGGGGTTTTCTAAATATGCAATCATGTCATCAGCAAACAGAGACAATTTGACTTCCTCTCTTCCTGTTTGAATACACTTTATTTCTTTTTCTTGCCTGATTGCCCTGGCCAGAACTTCCAATACTATGTTGAATAGGAGTGGTAAGAGAGGGCATCCTTGTCTTGTGCCAGTTTTCAAAGGGAATGCTTCCAGCTTTTGCCCATTCAGTATGATACTGGCTGTGGGTTTGTCATAAATAGCTCTTATTATTTTGAGATTTGTTCCATCAATACCTAGTTTATTAAGAGTTTTTAGAATGAAGTGGCATTGAATTTTATCAAAGACCTTTTCTGCATCTATTGAGATAATCATGTGGTTTTGTCATTGGTTCTGTTTATGTGATGGATTATGTTTATTGATTTGCATATGTTGAACTAGTCTTGCATCCCAGGGATGATAAGCTGACTTGATTGTGGTAGGTAAGCTTTTTGATGTGCTGATAGATTTGAAAATTTTCACATTGATATTCATCAGCAATATTGGCCTGAAATCTTCTCTTTTTTTGTGTGTTCTGTACCAGGTTTTGGTATCAAGGTGATCATGGCCTCATAAAGTGAGTTAGGGAGGAGTTCCTCTTTTTCTATTGTTTGGAATAGTTTCAGAAGGAACGGTACCAGCTCCTCTTTGTGCCTCTGGTAGAATTCAGCTGTGAATCCATCTGGTCCTGGACTTTTTTTTGATTAGTAGGCTATTAATTACTGCCTCAATTTCAAAACTTGTTATTTGTCTATTCAAGGGTTTGACTTCTTCCTGGTTTAGTCTTGGGAGGATGTATGTGTCCAGGATTTACTCATTTCTTCTAGATTTTCTAAGTTATTTGGGTAGAGGTGTTTATAGTATTCTTTGATGGTAGTTTGTATTTCTGTGGGATCAGTGGTGATATCCCTTTTATCATTTTTTATTGTGTCTGTTTGATTCTTCTCTCTTTTCTTCTTTATGAGTCTGCCTAGAGGTCTATCTATTTTGTTAATCTTTTCAAAAAAAACACCTCCTGGATTCACTGATTTTTTTGAAGGGTTTCTCGTGTCTCTATCTCCTTCTATTCTGCTCTGATCTTGGTTATTTCCTGTCTTCTGCTAGCTTTTGAGTTTGTTTGCTCTTGCTTCTCTAGTTCTTTTAATTGTAATGTTAGGGTGTTGATTTTAGATCTTTCCCGCTTTCTCCTGTGGACATTGAGTGCTATAAATTTCTCTCTAAATGCTGCTTTAGCTGTGTCCCAGAGATTCTGGTACATTGTGTCTTTGTTCTCACTGGTTTCAAGGAACTTATTTATTTCTGTCTTAATTTTGTTATTTACCCAGTAGTCATTCAGGAGCAGATTGTTCAGTTTCCATGTAGTTGTGCGGTTTTGAGTGAGTTTTTTAATCCTGAGTTCTAATTTGATTGCACTGCGGTCTGAGAGACTATTTGTTATGATTTCTGTTCTTTTGCATTTGCTGAGGAGAGTTTTGCTTCCAATTATGTGGTCGATTTTAGAATAAGTGCAAGGTGGTGCCGAGAAGAATGTATATTCTGTTGATTTGGGGCAGAGAGTTCTGTAGATGTTTATTAGGTCTGCTTGGTCCAGAGCTGAGTTCAAGTCTTGAATATCCTTGTTAATTTTCTGTCTCATTGATCTGTCTAATATTGACAGTGGGATGTTAAGTTCTCCCACTATTATTGTGTGGGAGTTTAAGTCTCTTTATAAGTCTCTAAGAACCTGCTTTATGAATCTGGGTGCTCCTGTGTTGGGTGCATATATATTTAGGATAGTTAGCTCTTCTTGTTGCGTTGATCCTTTTACCATTATGTAATGCTGTTCTTTGTCTTTTTTTGATCTTTGTTGGTTTAAAGTCTGTTTTACCAGAGACTAGGATTGTAACCTCTGTTTTTTTTTCTTTCCATTTGCTTGGTAAATATTCCTCCATCCCTTGATTTTGAGCCTATATGTATCTTTGCACATGAGATGGGTCTCCTGAATACAGCACACTGATGGGTCTTGACTCTTTCCAATTTGCCAATCTGTGTCTTTTAATTGGGGCATTTAGCCCATTTATATTTAAGATTAATATTGTTATGCGTGAATTTGATCCTGTCATTATGATGCTAGCTGGTTATTTTTCCCATTAGTTGTTGCAGTTTCTTCAAACTGTTGATGGTTTTTACAATTTGATATGTTTTCGCAGTGGCTGGTGCCAGTTTTTCCTTTCCATATTTAGTGCTTCCTTCAGGAACTATTGTAAGGCAGGCGTGGTGGTGACAAAATCTCTTAGCATTTGCTTGTCTGTAGAGGATTTTATTTCTCCTTTGCTTACGAAGCT